TTTCCTTTGGCTCTTCCCATCTTTCCCACTGCTATTTTCCTTCCTTCCTTCCATGCTTGTTTACTGCTTCTCCTTTTCTCTCTTTTTCTTCTTCCCTTGATTCTTTCTCTCTCTCTGGGAGCCAGTTTCTCCTCTCTCTGTCATTTTTGGGCTCCTTCCTTCTGCTGTTTCTTTCCACCAAGGGGTTCAGTGAGTAGAGGGGGATCCATGAGCCCAGCCCTGGGGCCAGTCAGGATACTGGAGCTGGGATTCACCATCCCAGTTCCTAGGAGGGCTCAGGTCATGAGACACTGTGTTCACCCAGGTGTGCTATGCTACCGGAGCCCTGGCCAAGTCAGTCTATGAGAAGATGTTCAGCTGGATGGTCACCAGAATTAACAACACACTGGAGACCAAGCAGCCACGTCAGTACTTCATTGGTGTACTGGACATTGCTGGCTTTGAGATCTTTGATGTAAGTGTGCCTACCAACAGGAGGTGGTCTGGGGGTTGTGGGGCCAGAGTGCTGGCCATAGTGGGGAACTCCTGGCTACTCCAGCCCCAGCAGGGAGCACTCTGGGAGCTGTGGGGCAAGAGCATTGGCTCTGGGTTGGATTTCTCCATTGCTCCAGCCCCAAGCTCCCCCCAGTAAGAACCACTGGATTCACACTGGTCTCCACTTCCCCCTAACCAGTTCAACAGCTTTGAGCAGCTTTGCATTAACTTCACCAATGAGAAGCTGCAGCAGTTCTTCAACCACCACATGTTCGTGCTGGAGCAAGAGGAGTACAAGAAGGAGGGCATTGAGTGGGAGTTCATTGACTTTGGCATGGACTTGCAGGCCTGCATTGACCTCATTGAGAAGGTACATCTGGCTTGGATTCCTCTACTACTATTGGATGTTCCTGCCATCATTGGATGGGCGGTTGGGCCCTCCATTGGGAAACACCAAAGCCCTCCATCCAGGGTTGCCAATCATCAGTAAAAGAAAAAAAGGCTAAAAGCTGTCAAGAAAGTCCATATGAAAAACTTTAGCCTCCAGTAAAAATGCTAAGCAGCTGAAGCTTGACTGAATCTCTGGCAGACAGAGTACAGCTGTGCCACCTGGCATCTGAGTGAAAGTGCAGCACCCTGCAGAGGGCATTCTCTCAGCCATATGCTGTTGCTGTATCCTAGGCTGTTTGGATGCACTGCTGGGTCACAGATAGGCTTCTTTGGGGGTCTGTGCTAGAAGGGGGAAAGTAGGTCTAGCAGGGGTCAGGCTGGATGGGGCAGCAGGGGGCAGTTGGGGGCATAAGGGTTCTGGAGTGAGTAGGGGGGTCCTGGAAGGAAAGGAGAGCAGCACAATGTGAAACTATCGCTGCAGTCAAGTAAGGTTCGAACACTCCTTTTTTTCCTGCAAACGTTTTTCTCTGACAACTGAACTTCTTTTACTGTTTTATGATGTTTGATGTTAAGCCCCTAAATTTGAACCCAGCCGTTATGTCTAGTGTCTGGAAGAAGAGTACACGTACATTATCTAAAACGCATGTCAGCAACAACACGTGCCAGTAAAAACGTTTGGCTGTCAGTAAAGAAACTTGCAGATTATCAGTAGAAAAAGTGTTCTTGGGTTAGCAAATCTGCCTTCATGGTTAATGCCCCTGCCCTCCCCCGGTTCTCTTGCAGCCCATGGGCATCATGTCCATCCTGGAAGAGGAGTGCATGTTCCCGAAGGCCACAGATATAACCTTCAAAGCCAAGCTTTTTGATAATCACTTGGGAAAGTCGGCCAACTTTGGGAAGCCGCGGAACATCAAGGGGAAGCCAGAGGCGCACTTCTCCCTCATGCACTATGCTGGCACCGTTGACTACAACATAATTGGCTGGCTGCAGAAGAACAAGGATCCCCTCAATGAAACTGTAGTGGGGCTCTACCAGAAATCTGCCCTCAAACTCCTTGCTCTCCTCTTTGCCAACTACGCCGCGGCCGATTCACGTAAGAAGCCCCCCTACTCTAAGCCACCAAGCCCAGTTACCATCCCAGAGTGGACATGTTCCAGAAGTCCAGGAGCCTAAGAGCCCAGGCTCCTAGCCCCCCCTACTCTAATCTACCAGCTCTCACATTCCTTCCATAGCAGAGATAAAAGCCAGGCATCCTGGTTTCCAGCCCTCTGCTCAAACCTTCCCCACCCTACAGACTCCATTCCCTTCCCAGGGTGAGGATGGAGCCTAGGTTTTCTGGCTCCCACCTCTGCTGCTCTAACCCATTAAATCCTACTTCCTTCCCAGAGCTGGGGAGAACCCAGGTGTCCTGATTCCTAGCCTCTCTAACCCCTGAGACCCCACTCCCTTCCCAGAACTGGGATGCAACCCAGACAGCCTGGCTCCCAGTCCCCCCTGCTTTAATTCCCCACACCCTATTTCCACCCCAGAGCTGGGATGGCCAGGCTCCCAGCACCTTCCTTTGCTCTAGCTCGTTACACGCCAACTTCCCTTTCAGAGTTGGGGTGGAAGACAAGGGGCCTGGGTCCCACTTCCCCTGCTCTAACCCCACCCCCAGCCCCAATGGAAATAGACCCCAGGCATCTGGGCTCCAAGCTCCTTTGTTTGACTTCACCAGACCCAACTCCCTATTGTGACATGTCCTGGTTTCTCCCTGCAGCTTCTGAAAGTGGGAAAGGCAAAGGATCAAAGAAGAAGGGCTCATCCTTCCAGACAGTGTCAGCTCTGCATCGGGTGAGGACCAGGCCCCAGGCAGGCTGAAGACTTTAGGGGGGTGTGGGTAAAACATGGCCTGGGGAGGGGTGTCTGGCTTACAAATCCTATGGGATCCACCATCCACCTCCTCTTGCATCTCATATTCTTGGCTTCTCATGCCGGTTCCCCCGCTCCCCCATCATCTGTCTGTGCATGACTCTCACTCTAGTCCCTTTCTTCTTCTACCTGTTTTTCTTCTCCTTATATTCCCCTCCAGCCATTTCTCTTTCTCTCTGTCTCCTTTCCCTCCTTTCTTCTTCCATGTTTCTTTCTTCTTTTTCCATTGCTTCTTTCCATTTTCCTTATTTCTCTTTTTCCCCACCTCCTCTTTCTCTGGATTCCTCTGACTGGTTGAGTCCAGGGGCAGATCCAGGCAGGATGCAGTGGTGCAGTTCCAACCCCTCACCTTTGATTTCTGCTCCACCCAAAGTTTAAAAACAACTGCCTGGCAATGGCAGCAATGAGGGAGTTACTTGACTTGATGGCCCATTGTCATCTATCGGATTCTTTCTGATCGCTTCATTCCACAGGTGTTAACACCCCTCTCTCCTTTTTAATGGTCTCCAAGTTCCACTAATCAAACTGTCCTTTATATTGCAATTCTGCTGCTAGCTGCTCCTGGTTATGTAACTCCTCACCCAGCTGACTATTTTTGACTCTAGCTAAAAACATGAACTTGGGTGTTGAAATAACTTTTACTGAAGCACTGGGTGGACTGCCATGATGCTCAAGAGGGCTTGATTTCATTTTATGAGTCTGAAAAGAGGTACCCATATCATGCTAATGACTACAGGGCCAATGAAACACCTTTGGTTATTTTCTCCTGGTTTGTTGCATTTATTATACATCATATATGATATAGCAAAGTCATGCACATTCTAATAAATTTATATTTGATTTTGCTCTGAATAATATAGCCCTAGGCTACTGGTTTATTAGTTCCATAGTTTCATAGTTGTTTGGGGCTGGAAGGAACCTTACAGATTATTGGGTCCAGCCCCCTGGCACTTGGGCAGAAAGGACCGCTGGGGTCTCTCTTTGCACTCTCTTTCTGCTGATTTCCCTTTTATTTCATGTATCCATTCTTCCTTCCCTCTCTCCCCTCTGTCTCTTTCCATGCTGCCTGTCTTTGTACATCTAACTTCACATCTACCATATTTTCTCACATGCAATATACCCTGGAATATAATATGCACCTTGTTTTTGAAAGACAGAGTGAAGAAGAAAGGATCTTTCCTTTTAGTAAGTCAGTGAACAGCAGCAATGAGGGAGCTTGGCCTACTCACTGTTTTGCTCCCTGTGGATGTCTGCAGATTTTATACCCAATAAACAGTGCTTACCATATTTCTTGCATGTAACATACACTCTAGTTACCCACAGCTGGTTTTGTGGGGAAAGGGTGTTTGATGCATGCTAGAAAAGATGGTATAGTCCCTCTCTCTATCCTTCTTTCATCTCATTTTCTCCATCTCTCTCTCTCTCTGCCTCATTCCTTCCATCCCTGTCCCCAGGAGAACCTGAACAAGCTGATGACCAACCTCCGCTCCACCCACCCACACTTTGTCCGGTGCATCATTCCCAACGAGACCAAGTCTCCAGGTTAGCGGGGTCACAGTTGGCACAGATTAGCCTTCCTTCAGTGCCCATTGCATCTCCTCCAGCTGAAGGGCAGGGATGAGGCCAAAGGAGGCAGGGCTGGTGTGGCCTACAGATGGAGCCCTCCATCCCTGCCTGTAGCAGGTTCATGGCCATTGGGGCGGCCATGATGCCCCTGGTAGCTGTGTTCCCTGCCTGGCTCAGGCTGTAATACAGCCCCTTCCCCCCTCTTCCCCCCATACACACACACCTTGTTCACTCACCTACCATGCTTTGTTCTTACTGGAGACAGTGTAAGGGAGGCTCCCTGTGAGCCTGAATCCGTAAAAGTCCCTCCTCTGGATTTCCACCTCAGCTTGGCTCTCAAGTCTAATAGGCTCTTCTTGGCTCACCTATGCCCTTGCAGGGCACCTGTAGCCTTAAGAGCAGATTGCATGGCTCTGATCCTTGCCTATACCACGCCCCAAGCCTTGTGGGTATTACTGTACTATTATCCACTTTGTAGGGGTCTTGGTCTTTGTAGGGGTCTTGGAGCCTTTGGCTCCTCCTGGGCCCTGACCCCAATCTTGAGCCAGTTGAGACCACCCAGCTTCCCCAGCTCTGGCAGCCTCTGTCTAAAGGCCCTCTTGGGCTACCGGCTCTTTGAGTAGGTCCTGAGCCTGCCCCAGCAGGGCTCAAAGCTAAACCACCAGCATAATCTTAAACCAGGATACTTACCCCCTCCAGCAGATACCCAAACTGACTCTGGGCTTAACATAAATAAGGAACCGCTGCCTGCACATGCTGGCTTTCTCTCTGCCCCAGGCAGCTGTCTCCTGCTCCCAGACCCCCAGAGTCATTTACCCAGTTTCACTGTGACCTCCAGAGCCCTGATGCGCCATTGCCAGGAGCTCCTCTTTCCCCAGGTCCCAGGGCTAAACTGCCCTGCCAGCTGAAGCTTTGGGCTTGTATAGCTGTAGCCCTGCCCCTGCTGGTCACATGACTCTCCAATTATCCCTGTCTCCCGATCTGCAAACTACCTGTCTGGCTGCTTGCCCTCTTAAAGGAGCAGGCTAGAGGAAGTGGGCAGGGCCTAATTTCCATGCATCTTCCCTAGAGGCACCAGGGCAAGGCTAAAGGATGGAGAAGGGGGCTTTGGGGGCAAGGAGAAGGAGGCAGGGCCTGGCTTTGCATGTATTCAGTCCCTCATTCAGTATGGGAGTGGAGACAACCCAAGGGTTGAGGAATGGGACCCATAGCTGTCTATCATTTCCCCTTCCTGTGTCTAAACACCCCCCTCTTGCCCCACCCCCAGGGGTGATGGACAACCCACTAGTGATGCACCAGCTGCGCTGCAACGGCGTGCTGGAGGGCATCCGTATCTGCCGCAAGGGCTTCCCCAACCGCATCCTCTACGGGGACTTCAGGCAGAGGTAGGTTGGGCAGGGGCACCACTGGGACAGAAGTTCATAGATTCTGGGGGTCTTATGTAGTCCAGGCTCCCTAACGCCCCCTTCCCTCACCCCCTCCAGGTACCGCATCCTGAACCCTGCGGCCATCCCTGAGGGGCAATTCATTGACAGCCGCAAGGGGGCAGAGAAGCTGCTGGGCTCCCTCGACATTGACCACAACCAGTACAAGTTTGGGCACACCAAGGTGAGGGGGAGAGACCTTTCTGGGGGTGGGAGGGGCCTCTTGGGGGCAGGACCACCACTAGCCACACCCCTGGGAAGCAAGGAGAGTGATAGCTTGGTTGGCATTAGAGGGTACTGAGCTCCCGGAGTCTGGGCCCTGCCCTGTCCCCCGCCTGGCACTTGGGGGTCCCATGCTGCTCTGTGGGGTCTATACCCCTCTACCTCTTTTCCCCCTGCAAAGGTGTTCTTCAAGGCTGGGCTCCTGGGGTTATTGGAGGAGATGCGGGATGAGCGTCTGGCCCGGATCATGACCCGGCTCCAGGCCCAGGTCCGTGGCTACCTGTCTCGGCAAGAATTCAAGAAGATCTTGGAGCGCAGGTAGATGAGGCATAGAGATGTGGTCTAGGGTACTGCTGGGGGAAACTCACAGCCCCAGAGCTGGCCTCTGTGCTGGGAGCACTGCTATTGGAGAAGCTTGCAGCCCCAGCTCACATGGTCACCAACCCCCTGCCCCTTTCCAGGGACTCCCTGCTGGTGATCCAGTGGAACATCCGGGCCTTCATGGGGGTGAAGAACTGGCCCTGGATGAAGCTGTACTTCAAGATCAAGCCACTGCTGAAGAGTGCAGAGACCGAGAAGGAAATGCAGACCATGAAAGAGGAATTTGGGCGCCTGAAGGAGGCACTGGAGAAGTCAGAGCAGCGGCGCAAGGAGCTGGAGGAGAAGATGGTCTCTCTGCTCCAGGAGAAGAATGACCTCCAGCTGCAAGTCCAAGCGGTGAGTGACGAGGAGGCCCCAGCCCTCAGTCCCCTTTAAGAGTCGTGTCTCATGGCAGGAGAGCCCAAGATCTGTGGAAATCCTCTGTTCAATACCTTCATGAATGCTTTGCACCAGGGGTGCTCAACCTCTGGCCCTCTCCTGAAAACCATACTTCCACATTGGGTTATGTGGATGGGTCTCTTTCAGCCCAACTTTTCTATGATCCTGTGATCCTACTCAAGACCCACTTCCCATGCTCTTCCTTTCTTGCTTTTCATACATCATCCACTTCACTTCCAGGAGCAAGACAATCTTGCAGACTCTGAGGAACGCTGTGACCAGCTGATCAAGAACAAGATCCAAATGGAGGCCAAGGCAAAGGAACTGACGGAGAGGCTAGAGGATGAGGAGGAGATGAATGCAGAGTTGACAGCCAAGAAGAGGAAACTGGAAGATGAGTGCTCAGAGCTCAAGAAGGACATTGACGATCTGGAGTTGTCCCTGGCCAAGGTGGAGAAGGAAAAGCATGCAACAGAGAACAAGGTGAGGATGAGGAAGCGAGCTGGACTGCAGTTCAGTCCTCTAAAGGGTTATTGGGTTGGGTTGAGTGGCCTCAGGATGCACTGAGTTGAACAGGTTCAAAGCTGGAGAGTTCAGTTGGGTGGAGGTGCTTGTGTTGAAGTCTGGTTGGTTCAATGGAGTGGTTAGTTGAGTGGTTTCAAGGGTGGTTGAACTGGGTTGGGTGGAACTGAATGGATTAAAGGCTGCTTGTTTCAATGGGGTTCACCCGAGTACCTTCAAGATTGGTTGGTCTGGGTTGGGTGGAGTCAAACAGATTCAAGGTGGATTGGTCAATGGAGTTCAGTTGAGCGGCGTCAAGGGTGGTTGAGCTGAGTTGAGTTGAGCAAGTTCAACTCAGCCGATCCAACTCAATTCAGTCCACCTAACTAGTCAGATTGGGTTGAGTTGAGCTCACTAGCACTAATGCTTGCAAAGCTGAATGCACATCACCCCAGTGAGGTTGAGAACAAGGTAAGCTCCACCCCCACCCCTTTCCCCAACACACATGCACACAAACATTCACATGTAGGACTCTGCTCTTGGCTCTGAGCTCTGTAGTTTCAGAAACTTCACACACCACTTTTTTCTCCCACCCAGGTCAAGAACCTCACAGAAGAGATGGCTGGGTTGGATGAGATCATTGCCAAGTTGACCAAGGAGAAGAAGGCCCTGCAGGAGGCCCACCAACAAGCTCTGGATGACCTGCAGGCTGAAGAGGACAAGGTCAACACCTTGACCAAGGCCAAAGTGAAGTTGGAGCAACAGGTGGACGACGTGAGTACTTCCAGACTTGGGGCAAGGGTGTTGCCACCTCTTGGTTATTTTTGCTTGGTGTCTCCTCGGAGTCTGTGGAAGTTTGCATCTGGAGGGGGGAATTCTAATGGAGTGGGAGAACCTTCACTATGTGTTTAGATGGAGGGAATCCATGACACTCTAGCCACAACAAGGTTTCTCCTCCCAGAAGATCCTGGGGGATGGTTGCCAGGTTCATTGACAATCGGTGGGTTGATGTTGTCTCTCTCACACCAGCTGGAAAGTTCCCTGGAGCAGGAGAAGAAGATCCGGATGGACCTGGAACGGGCCAAAAGGAAGCTGGAAGGGGACTTGAAGCTGGCCCAAGAAAGCATCATGGACCTGGAGAATGACAAGCAGCAGATGGATGAGAAGCTCAAGAAGTAAGGAGCTGCCTGGGTCCTTGGCCAAGAGTCTTTTCTCCCAGGTCCCTACTAGCCTCCACTTTCACCTTCCAGGCTCCCTCTCCCCCAGATCTGGGATAGAACCCAGGTGTCCTGGCTCTTAGCCCCAGTGTTCAAATACATCAAACCCCACTCCCCTCCCAGATCTGGGATAGCACCCAGGTGTCCAGGCTTCCAGACCCCCATGTTCTAACTCATCACACCATACTTCCAGATCTGGGACTGAACCCAGGCATCTTGGCTCCCATCCCCCTTACTCTACTCCAGTATATCCCACCCATTGCCTCAGACCTAGAAACAGAACTTGATCGTTCTCTCTTGCAGGAAAGACTTTGAGTTGAATGCCCTGAATGCACGGATTGAGGATGAGCAAGCCATTGCTATCCAACTCCAGAAGAAGCTCAAAGAACTCCAGGTAAGCTGGGAGCAGCCCCTTCCTCCGATGAGGTAGGCTGTGGAGAGGGGCACCATCCCTTGCTGAACCCATCAGCCTGGGACAGCTCCACCAGACCGTACAGCTTCCTGCCTGGATTCTGTCCTCATTTCTTCCCGTTTTCTAGTTTCCTGTCCTGGAAAAACCTAGTGTCCTGTTGGGTTATGTGTATGGCTTCTTCCCACTTTCCTGGTTTTATCTAGGACATCAACAAGCTGTGTTTGATCACCCACATAATCTAGAACATCTGTCCTAGTAAATCTGAATGTGAGGGTTGTGGGCTGTTATGAGCACCCAGATAGGTCTCAGCTTGGTCTAGAACACCAACAGGCTGCATTGAAACTGAGTTGGCACAGATTCAGCCACGAATCTAGACTGTTCTTCCATGATCTAGAACATGGGGTGTTCTAAGGAAGAGGCACTCTCTCTTTCTCTCTGTGGTGCAGGCACGCATTGAGGAGCTGGAGGAGGAGCTAGAGGCAGAGCGCACAGCCCGGGCCAAGGTGGAGAAGCTGCGCTCAGACCTATCACGGGAGCTGGAGGAGATCAGCGAGCGGCTGGAGGAGGCAGGTGGTGCCACCTCAGTGCAGATCGAGCTAAACAAGAAAAGGGAGGTGGAGTTCCAGAAGATGCGGCGAGACCTGGAGGAGGCGACGCTGCAGCACGAGTCCACGGCCGCCACACTGCGCAAGAAGCACGCTGACTCAGTGGCCGAGCTGAGTGAGCAAATTGACAACCTGCAGCGCGTCAAGCAGAAGCTGGAGAAGGAGAAGAGCGAGCTCAAGCTGGAGCTGGATGATGTTGCCTCCAACATGGAGCAGCTCCTCAAGGCCAAGGTAAGCTCCTCAAGGCCAGAGTGAGGTGGCCAGGGCTAAGTCTGGCAGGTGGAGCATGATGAGTGGCCAGGACCAAGGCTCAAAGGTGAGAGCTCATGGAAGAAGCCTGGACTGGAAGTGGAAGATGAGCTGTGGCAGGAAGAGCATGGCCAAGACTAGTGGGTGGAACAAAGGATGGAATAGGATAAGTCATTAATGGGGCATGGCCAAGCGAGAGGGGCCAATAGTTTCCAGTTTTAGGCAGACGAGGAGGCACTGTCACAGCTTGGGAATGGGGCCATGGGTGTCAGGAGACGCCATGGCTTGGGGAGAGGCACTAGTGCCTGTAGAGCCCAAAAGGTCCTTGGAGGGGAAGGGGTCATGGAGGGAGCTGGGTATTTTCCTACCTCCTTCTTGGTTTTTTTCCCTCTCCATTTTCCGCCCCCTTCTCATTCCTTCATTCTCTCACTCTCTTCTCCCCATGTGTTCCTGCTTCTGTCGTATTCTTAGACCAATTGTCATATTTAAGGTCAGGAAGGGATTTTATCCCATGGTCAGATTAGTATGTATCGGGGGGCACTGTTTTCCTCCGTAGCATGGGGTGTGACCCTCTTCCTGAATCTCTCAACCTTTCCAGCAGCAGGACTTTGGTCACCATGGTCCCCCTGCTTTACCTATGCCAGGTTAGGGTGTTATGTCTTGTATTGTGTCAGGCTTGACTGCATGGTTAGGCAAAGAGGTAAGGCAATGGATTTGTACGGGATAGTTTGAATAGGGATGACAGGGGTTGGACTAAATGACCTCTGGAGGTCCCTTCCAGCTGTACTGCTCTATGATACTGTGACCTCTCACCCCTGCCAGGCCAACCTGGAGAAGATGTGCCGGATGGTGGAGGACCAGATGAATGAGCATCGATCCAAGTCAGAAGAGTCGCAACGCATGGTCATTGACCTCACTACCCAACGCGCCAAGCTGCAGACAGAGAATGGTGAGCAGGGACCCCTGCTCGTCCCCCCCCAGGTCACTCCAACCTCTCTGGTGGACCACAACAACCCCTTCTCCCACCCTGGATTTCCAAGACACCTCTGTCTTCTTTATGGCACCTTTGGGAGCCTTGTCCCCTTCTCCTACTGCTCATGTGAAGGGTGATGTACCCCTGGGAACCTGTTCCCTCCCAGCCAGCTCCCTAAAGGCTCTCCCTCCTGGCCCCCATCTACATCTGGAGATAGTGAGAAGGGTCTGAGGTGTCCCCAAGGGTTGACCCCTCACCTGCCTCTTTGGCCACCCCCAGGTGAACTGGCCAGGCAGCTGGATGAGAAAGAGGCACTGGTCAACCAGCTGACTCGGGGCAAGCTCACATACACTCAGCAGCTGGAGGACCTCAAGAGGCAGCTGGAGGAGGAAGTGAAGGCAAGGACCTGTTGGGGGCAGGAGTGAGGGGCACTGGCAGGGCTCAGGGTAGGGAAGGGAGCTGCAGGTTGGGATGGAGGGGCACTGTAAGGGCTGGAGGGGGGCAGGGAGCCATGGGTTGGGAGTGAGGGGCATTGGCTGGGCTGAAAGGGGTCAGGGCACTGCAATTTGGGATTGAGGGGCATTGGCTGGGCTGAAAGGGGTCAGGGCACTGCAATTTGGGATTGAGGGGCATCGTGTGAGCTCTTTCCCCTCCCACTGTCCCCCCAGGCCAAGAACGCGCTGGCACATGCCTTGCAGTCGGCCCGGCATGACTGTGACCTGCTGCGGGAGCAGTACGAGGAGGAGACAGAGGCCAAGGCCGAGTTGCAACGCTCGCTCTCCAAGGCCAATTCTGAAGTGGCCCAGTGGCGGACCAAGTATGAGACTGACGCCATCCAGCGCACCGAGGAGCTGGAGGAGGCCAAGTGAGTGCTGCCCACAGCCCGGGCACCAGGGTCCTCTCCTGAACACCCCCCAGGCCTGCACCCCAACTTTGTCCCAGGGTTCCCAGCTCACCTCCCATGCTGGCCACTAGCCAACCCTGTCCCAGACTAGGGGGTTCTCAGCTGAATCTACCATCTCCCACTACTTCCCCAGAGACATTCTCAGCTGTCCTGCATCTCCTCATCTGTCCTGTCCTGGGGGCCCCTTCACTCCCCACTTCCTTTCACCTCCTCATTCCTTCCCTCCTTCCTCCTTCCTCCTTATGTCCTCCACTTCTCCTCTCCCTCATTCCCCTGCTGCTTCTCTCCATTGCTTCTTTCTTCTTTTGGTCCTCTTTCTTCATTTGTTCTTTTGCTTTCTCATCTCTTTCACTCATTTCCTTCATTCTCTTTTCCCTTCCTTTCTTTTTCCTGCATATTTTCCATCCCTGCCCTTTCCTTGTTTTTTTCCCCTCCTCTGGCTCATTCTTTCATTTGTCTTTTCTTTCTTTCTTTCTGTTGCCCTTTCCTTTTTTAGATCATCCTCTGGCTTTTTTGTTCTCCTTCATTTCCTTGTTCATCCTGTTCTTTCTCTTTCCACCTTCTCTTGGTTCCTTCAGCTTCTCCTCTTCTGCTTATTTCATTCGGTCTTCTCTCTTGCTGTCCTTATCATGCCATTCTGTCCTCCCTCCTATCTTCCATGGGACCTTCCTTCCTTCCATTCTTCCTTCTCTCCATCCTCCCTTCCTTTCATCTTTTGTGGGACCTCCCTCCCTCCCTTCCTTGATGTTGTCTGAGCCTTGTTCCTCCCATATTCAGTTCTCCTTCATCTCAGTTGGGAATGGGGATAGGGATGGGGATGTCTCTCCTCTCCCTTGCCCTCCATGATGACCACATTGCCCATGGTGCCTCCCGGTTGCAGGAAGAAGCTGGCGCAGAGGCTGCAGGAGGCAGAGGAGGCAGTAGAGGCTGTCAATGCCAAGTGCTCCTCACTGGAAAAAACCAAGCACCGGCTGCAGAATGAGATTGAGGACCTGATGGTGGATGTGGAGCGCTCCAACGCTGCTGCCGCTGCCATGGACAAGAAACAGCGCAACTTTGACAAGGTGGGGAAGGGTGGAAGGAAGATGGGGAGGCAGGCAGGGACTGAGTGACAGGTGGGGGGTCTGACCACATCCCGCCCACCCCCAGATCCTGGCTGAGTGGAAGCAGAAGTTTGAGGAGTCCCAGACAGAGCTGGAGGCCTCACAGAAAGAGGCCCGGTCACTCAGCACTGAGCTCTTCAAGCTCAAGAACGCCTACGAGGAGTCTCTGGAGCACCTGGAGACCTTCAAGAGGGAGAACAAGAACCTCCAGGGTGAGGGTGGCCGCCACCAGGACCCCTATAGCATCACAGGCCCTGCCCCACACTCCCAGAGCCCTGGGAGCCAATCCCATCCTTTGCCCCACCCCCTGCAGTGCGGCACCTGCTCTGGAACCCCATGCCCCCTACTGAGCCTGCCTCTCACAGCATCACCAACTCATGCCCTGCCCTCATTGAGCCCCACCCCCACTGCCCTGCCCTGTCCCCCACCCAACCCAGCCCAGGGTTCCCTCCCTGTAGCCCGGCACTCCCCAGTACCCTCCGGGGGTGCCGCAGTCTCCTATCCATGCTCACAGCCAGGTCTCTCCCCCCATCCCCTACAGAGGAGATCTCAGACCTGACAGAGCAGCTGGCCAGCAGCGGGAAGACCATCCACGAGCTGGAGAAGACACGGAAGCAGCTGGATGCTGAGAAGCTGGAGCTGCAGGCAGCTCTGGAGGAGGCTGAGGTGAGGGCCCCATCTCCCCAGCCAGGCCTGACCAGCTATCTGTCCTTCTCCCAGTCCCCTTTTCCCTCCTTCTTCACCTCTTCTCCCTCCCTTTCTTCCTCGTCAGGCTGTTCACCATTCACGTCTTCCATTCCCTTCCCATCTCCCATCCTCATTTCTTCTCTTTCCTGTCTTCTTTCCTTCTTTTCTCCATCCTTTTATCTTTCCTTCCTTCTTTCCCCTTCCCCAACCTCACTATTCTCTGTTTTGTCCTTTCTCCATTCTTTCTCTTTTCACTGTTTCTCCTTTACTGCTCTCTTCTCTTTCCATTCATCCCTCCCTCCATCTCCTCTTTTTCTCTCTTCACACCTCCATTCCGTTTGCCGTTACTTTTCATTCCTCACTTGTGCTTTCTCTTTCTTTCTCTTTCCTCTCTTCTCTCTTTCACTCCATTTCTTTTTCTGGTCTTTGCTCCATAACCAATGCATTTCTTTTGGTCATTCCTTCTTTGAATCCAAATTTCTTTTCTTTTGTTTTCCCCCAACACTCTCTCTCTGTTAGGGTAGTTTCAGCATCTTGGGGCAATGGGGGTTGTAGTTGTGTGACAGGGTATCCATATAGCTATTTATCTATTCATCCAAATAGCCAGCCAGCCAGTCATTCATCTGACTGTCCATCCATCCATCCATCCATCTACCTATCTAATATATCTCTGTTCTCTGTCTCCCCACTAACTTTTTCTGTCTCCACTCTTTATATGACCTCTTCTTTCTACCTTCCTTTCTCTCTCCACCCTCTGCCCCAACCAGGCCTCCCTGGAGCATGAGGAGGGGAAGATCCTGCGGGCCCAGCTGGAATTCAACCAGTTCAAGGCAGACTTTGAGCGCAAGCTGGCTGAGAAGGATGAGGAAATGGAGCAGGCCAAGCGCAACCACATACGGGTGGTGGACTCACTTCAGGCCTCACTGGATGCTGAGACCCGCAGCCGCAACGAGGCTCTGCGCCTCAAGAAGAAAATGGAAGGTGACCTCAATGAGATGGAGATCCAGCTCAGCCACGCCAACCGCATGGCTGCTGAGGCCCAGAAGCAAGTCAAGACGCTACAGAGCTACCTCAAGGTAACGGGGCTGTAGCTAGGCACTACCTAAACAGTTGTGCTTAAGGGATGGTGAGGGCTAAAACATACAAGGAGAGCCCATAGTTCCACTCTACAAAGACCACTTATGAAGTGATAAAAGCAAACCATTAACAGGCAATGAGTTAGTGACCATGTTGCGAGGGTGTCCTATCCCAGAGGGTGTAGATCACACAGCCCTTAGGGTCCATGGGACAGCTTATCACCTCAGCTGTCTTGAAGGCATGTCTAATCTCTCTCCCTACACCCTTACCTTTTATTAGCTTACTTTAGTGCTATGGTACTCGACCATTTAGCCCTGTGACCCAGATCTGGCCTCAGGGCCCAACACCACCCTCTTCGTGCCCCACATGCTGGGATTGAGTCCCATGGGCCCAGCACTACCCCTGTTTAGCCCTGCATGCTGTGATCAGTTACCATTGGCTCCCCATGGGTCCAGAGACGTGGTAGTAGGGAAGTGGTGGCTCAGGTCTCCTGCCACCAAATTTCTGGACCTGTGGGGATGCCCATGAGTTGGATAACTGGGTTGTGGGCCAGATCTGGTTCACAGGCCAGAGGATGAGCACCCCTGATCTAATGCATAAACAGGCTCTCTGATAATATTGGCTTAAAACTCTACCTCTGGCCTCCCAATGACACTTTGCTCATGGCCATAGAAGGTGAGGTCTCTTGCATCTCTTTCTCCCCCAAAACAGAATAACCCATTTTTGTTTAACTTTCATCTTCACCAAGTTGTAACTGGGCCTGGAGAGGAGAGCAAATAGATGCTAAGCTCCACGTTTCTAATTCAGTAGGGCCTTGAGAGGGTCCTGTGACTTAATGAGGAGCTCAGCCTTTGCCAGTTGTTGCAATGGAAGCGGGCAGAGAGATGGAAAATGTTATCAGATGCCAACTGCAGCTTTTCAGCCTACATGTCCCACCTGGACCAGTGGGGTGGGGGTGTGGGGACTGTCCTTTGTCCTATAGCAAGACCTGATCTTCCCCCTCCAGTCACCCCAGTGGTCCCTTCTGCCATGCCTTGATGGTAAAATGATGATCCAGCCGGAGAGATTGCCCTCAAAAATTAGCAGGAGCTTCCTAAGACCCCTGTCACACGTTACATGTATTATGCAATTCACTGGTGAATCACACAATAAATTTATACTGGCTGCACATGCAAAGTAAGACTTGCTACACATGCAAAGTAATTATCACACATTTAAGTGGTTAGTCGCGCAATAAATTTAGACCAGTCACATGTGCACAATAAATATCATACCACAAAACTGGCCGTCCAGCCATAAGAAGAGCCAGCCAGCTACAAACATAGTGCTTGAAAATGAGTAATAAGGACATAGCAGGTTTCTATCCAGCTTTAATTTAAATGTGTGGCAGGGCCCTATGTGCTTTTCTTGGCTTCATTTCTCATCAAGCTCTCAGCTTCCCACCCAAGCATGGCACCTCTTCATCTCTTGGTCTGGACAAAATCGTTTCTTTCACTCTCTGGGCTCCAGCCCCTCTGTCCCGCGCAAGTCAGGACTAGGCCTGGGGTCCCATCACTACCCCTCCTGCCCCTTGCACATCAGGATAGGGCTCTGGGGACCAGCACTCTCTTCTGTCTGCACTGGGCCCATGACTCTGCATCTCTTGTACTGGGCCCTGGCTCTTGCTCTTCTAGCACTGATTATGGCTCTAATCATGACCTCCTGGCACTAAGTGCCTTAGGGGCACCAGTCATGGCCATGCCCATGCCTCATAGGTCTTACTCTGATCCCGTTTGTTGGGTCCTCTGCCCTGATTTCAGCCTACCGGGTCCCTGACCCTTGGAAGGCTGCCCTCTCTGTAGTCTTGGCCTACTAGGGCTCTTGCAAGGCTCATTGCCAGAGTGCCTTCCAGCCACCCCCATGGCATCCAATCCAGCTCCACAATCACAACCCAAACCTCTAGTCACACACTTCAACCAACTATAACACAGAACCATTCAGCTCCCCATGGGCCTTTCTGCAGAGCTTCCTTCCTCTCCAAAGATCAGGGCCAGATTGTCTCTGCTAGTCCCAAGCCAGGCATATACAGCCCCTGGCCTCTCTCCTTTTCTGTCCCCTGATTCGGCTCTTTGCCTTCAGGGGCTAGGTGCTGCTAATTAGCCTAATCACTAGCTTGCACTGCTAGTCTTTGCTAAGCACTTTCACGGGCAAATGGCAGGGCTTCTGCTACCCACCGTCTCCCTCTGGGCCACTGAAGTGTCAGGATGGACTAAGCTCTGGGCAGTCACTTAACAAGTTACCGTACACAGGCTGGGGTCACCAGGGATCTGTTGCAGTCCAAGTCATCAGGCCAAGGGTTGAGGTGGTATTGTGTTCAGGGTGGATGGTAGATCAGAGCCAGGAGGTCCAAACAGGGCAGAGGCAGGGACTGTGGCAGATTTTGCTTCTCCGCTGTGGGTTTGAATTCCAGTGGTTCTAACATGAAGACACAGTGGTTTTGGGACCCTGTTACAGTAGGGGGTGGCAGGACTTCCTGTCTCAGGAAATGTTGGATCCAACCCTTCCCAGGACACCCAGCTGCAGCTGGATGATGTGGTGCGAGCCAATGAGGACCTGAAGGAGAACATCGCCATCGTGGAGCGGCGCAACAACCTGCTGCAGTCAGAGCTGGAGGAGTTGCGGGCTGTGGTCGAACAGACAGAGCGGGCCCGCAAGCTGGCTGAACAGGAGCTCATAGAGGCTAGTGAGAGGGTCCAGCTCCTGCACTCCCAGGTAAGGCCCATGGGGGACCCCCAGCCCCTCTCCAGGGCAGCAGGGCAGCAACCTCCAATCTCCAACCCAAGAGGGATCCATCTCCAACCCCGATGTTGAGCTGAGGGGGTTTAGAAATAAGCTGGGGGAATGTAGAATCATCCATGTTCTTGAGCAACCCAGTCGAGATCTTCCTCCTGGTCCTGTGTTCTGGATGATGAACTCCCAGTTTGATATGTTGACTGATGGCCTAGAACATGAGCCTCCTCAGTCTCCTGTCCACAGCAATCATCCTCTCACTCTAGAAGGGTAACCTAGAATGTAGGCACCAGTTTGGTCATCTGACTGGAGTACTAATCCTCAGGACTTCTATGTAGGTCCAGATCTGGAACATCTAGATCCATGCAACTGGGTTGTTTGTGCAATAGTCTAGAATGAGATTTCCTCCCTGTGTCACCACAACAGTCCAGAGTACCAATCCCTGGCTCTGGTGTAGAGAATATCCTATCAGTACTAGTGGTTACCAAACCATAGCAGAGGTTCCCACCTCCAGAGTAGGTGGTTGCTGGGGTGACTGGGGCTATGAGTCCAGAACATCAAAACCATTCTAGATCGCAGGTCATGTGGTATCCTGGATTCTAGAGCTAACGGAGACTAGAACCACTATGGTGACCTGGAACCACTCTTACAGAGCCATAGGGTCTAGTATCATGTGCTCTTAGGAGCCTAGAAGGTCTAGAATGATCTCAAGCCCAGGTCTTGATCATCTGGTGCAAAATTTCAGCTCCATTCTGGATTAAGGGGCTAGCTTGGAATTCATCTGAGAAGGAGGTTCTAGACTGGTCTAGGAAGAGTTGGGATCTAGGCATTTCTAGAATAGTTCCAAAGATAACTGAGCATCCCTGAATCCAACCCCCTGTGGGAACCTGGCCTATGGCTGATGAAGTATCATTGTTCTGTGCTCTTTCCCCTCCCCACCTAGAACACCAGCCTGATCAACCAGAAGAAGAAGATGGAGACTGACATAGCCCAGTTGCAGACAGAGGTGGAGGAGGCTGTTCAGGAGTGCCGAAACGCAGAAGAGAAGGCCAAGAAGGCCATCACTGATGTGAGTGCTAAGGGGACTGGGCACAGGGCCTTCCCACATCAGCGGATAATGGTCCTCATCCTGTTCCAGGGCAGGGGCACCATGTGGTTCAGGGGACAGTAAATGGGACCCAAGGGTTTTCCATGTTCAGGGTGAGGAGGGCAGACCATTTCAGGGAATGGGGCAAGCCTGACTCTATCATCCCTGGGCAGGCGGCCATGATGGCAGAGGAGCTGAAGAAGGAGCAGGACACAAGCGCCCACCTGGAGCGGATGAAGAAGAACATGGAACAGACCATCAAGGACCTGCAGCTGCGGCTGGATGAGGCCGAGCAGCTGGCCCTCAAGGGTGGCAAGAAGCAGCTGCAGAAGCTGGAGGCCCGGGTGCGGGAGCTGGAGAGTGAGCTGGAGGCTGAGCAAAAGCGAAATGCAGAAAGTATCAAGGGCCTGCGCAAGTCGGAGCGGCGCATCAAGGAGCTCACCTACCAGGTATCGTGCTCTAGAACCCTGACCTGGGACCCAAGGCTCCCACCCTCCTGGAGCTACAACACACAAGAGGTTTGACCCAGGACATGTGGTGATGCTAGTGGGGTGGTATAGGGGATGCTAATGGGGTGGTATAGGAAACAAGGGATATGGCCTAGAGCCATATGGTGTTTAACCTTTTGGTCCCACAAGCCAAGTGAATGGTGTGGGGTCCATCTGCAGGGTGGATCAGGCCCTGCATGCTGTGACTGAACACCAGATCCAGTCCACAGGGCCTGGGGCTTTCCATGGTTCCAGAGATTTGGCATCAGGAGAGCAGTGCTGTAGGCTGATTCTGACCCATAGGCTAGGGGTTGAGCACCCCTGGCCTAGAATGATCTGGAAGTCTCCCACCCTGCACTGTTAGATGCGTAACCTAGAACATGACTAGGGTGAGCTAAAACACAAGGCATGTGACTGAAATATGTGGTTGTTCCAATGCAGAATATCACTTGGGATATTCCCAACCCCAGATAGTTCTCTCCTGAAGGGTACATCTTAATCCAGGCAAAGCAGGCACCCACAAACTAGGTGCTTCCAGCTCTAAACCAGAAGGCATGATATAGAATACAGTCCATTGCCATGTATCCACCACCTCTAGAACACCTACCTGATCACTTTGCGTCATGGGTGGCTAGGAGCTCAGTTCCCACCCCACTTGGAGAAGTGGAGCACTCATGGAGTCATAGCTTCATGGCTGTGAGCAGGGGGGCAGGGATGGATCCAGATCCATGGGGGTCAAAATCAGTTGGGTTCCCAAGCAGTGATCTCACCTCTCTGCTCTCTCTCCAGACCGAGGAGGACAGGAAGAACCTGATCCGTCTCCAAGACCTAGTGGATAAGCTCCAGCTCAAAGTTAAAGCCTACAAGAGGCAGGCAGAGGAGGCGGTGAGTGTCCAGGGGGTAGGGATGAGATTCTAGATCATCTCTATGACACTTTCTACATCCTGAAGCCCCTCAACCCCCCATGCCGGAACCCAGCTGAAGGCCTTGAGATGTTCCAGGGGCCAAGGACAAACACTCTGCAAGAGATCTTTCTTCTCCAGAGAATTCTGGGGGTCTTGTCCACAAAGCATGGTTGGTTTGGGGCTTGCAATGCATGCTGGAAAGAGGCAGCAATTGGTGTATCCTTGCATCTCCTGCTTTGCAGCATGCATTGCAAAACCAAAGCCCATGCTAGCCATGAGTCACGTATCCCAGTATCTTAGACTGGGGTAGCCACAGTCCTCACTGGGAGGGCGAGAGGGGGTGAGGGCAGTCACTGGGGACTGGGGGGTCTTTTGATGAGAGATGAATTTGGGAAGTTCGCCCAGGGACACTTCTTTCTGGGGCAGTAGCCAGTCCAGTGCAGAGGCTGCCAAGGGGAACGCTGGTTTGCTGGACAATTGGATGGATGGATGGATGGATGGATGGATGGATGGATGGAGGACAGGTGAGTGGATGGACGGACAGATGGATAGGATAATGGACTAATGGATGAGTGGGTGGATGGTGAGTGGGTAGATGGTTGGATGGATGGACAAGTGCCCTACAAACCATTTGGTTGAATGGGTGGTGGAAAGACAGACAAATGGGCAGCTGAGTTCATGTATGGATGGACAGACAGGTAGCTGAATGGATGGATGGATGGATGGATGGATGGATGGATGGATGGACGGATGGATGAACAGAAGGATAGATGGATGGATGCAGCCCATAGGAATAGGGAGGGAGGGAGAGATGCATCCATGGATGGACAGATAGACAGCATTCTTGGAAGGGTCTACCCCCTTCAGGACCCCTCATCTGCTAGAAGTCCAGCACTGGACAGTTCCATAGGTGCTCACCCTCCCTGAGCAGCCTGTGGGACAGAAACCTCCCCTTGGGTAGCAGCCAGGCAGCAGTGGGGCAAAGCTGACCCTGCCATGGCCTGGCCCCACAGAAGACCCAGAGCCCCACAGGGTAAGAGGTACATTTCCACTCTCTCCTTGGTGCTGCCTGCAGGAGGAACAAGCCAACACCAACCTGGCCAAGTTCCGGAAGATTCAACATGAGCTGGATGAGGCTGAAGAGCGGGCCGACATCGCCGAGTCCCAGGTCAACAAGCTCCGGGCCAAGAGCCGCGACATTGGAGCCAAGGTGAGCCATGGAGGGGCCACCCCTCCCCCATTACCTTTCCCCACCCTTCCCTTCTCCCCTATCTCTCACTCTCTCTCTCTCTCTTTTCTTCCAGAAGGGACTGAATGAGGAGTAACTCCCATGACACCCCTCAGAGGCCACTGCCGACCTTCCCCTCTGTATATTAGCACCAAACATCCCATTCCCTCCAGTCTAGAGAATAAATCAGCAATACACTGTGTGTGTGTTTATGATGTCACATACACCCACACCCCACACTGTAACCCCCAAAACAGCAGAGAGCTGCTACAGAAGGACAGAGAGAGAACAGGATGGATGGATGGATGCTATGAGTATGGAGGGAAGAAAGCTATGGAGATGGACAGATGGATGGACAGGAGGGAAGGAAGGATGGATGACTGGACATCTAACTAGCCACATACTGAAGCAGAATGAATAGATGCAACTATATTGAGACAAAATTTTGAATTAACAGATATAGATTGAAGCTAAGGAGCTCAGACTAGACAAAAGCATTAACAGGGCTGCAATTGGCCAATGGGAATTCACAGTGCTCTGATAGTGCAAAGTGGATGCTGGAGGGGGACATCTGGAGAGGATCATAGTGGGGGCATCACCAAGAGTAGATCAGGGTGATTTGGGAGCTGGGGTAGGTCCCAGAGACACAGGTGGGTCTAGAGAGCAAATGGGGATGACAGCCATGGGAGTGCCTACTGCTGAATCCTCCCAAGAGACAGAGGTAGTATGATGTCACCCATGATGACATCACTGTGGTGTATACCCACATTGCCTCTGACCGGCACTCTCCTTACACTTCTCAGTGCCCCCGGATGGGCCACCAAAAGGGCTTAAGTAGGGAATATGGAGCAATGGGGGTAGGAGGTCAAACAGTGATGGCCTATCAATTGAGCAGAGGTGAGGGGGCTGTGGTTAAGGGTCCCTCAGGGTGGGAGATGGGCTTCCAGGACTCCCATGTCCCACAAAGAGAAGCCAACAGAGCTCCCGAGGTAGGGACTAGAGCAAGACCCACTGAGAGCTCCAAGGAGGGGAGAAAATTCTATAATTGGCCCTCTTAGGACTCCATCCCTCAACCCCAAGTCTTCAGGGCCTAGCTTACAGCTCCCTTAGATGCTCCCTGGGGATCTAGACTGTGGTGGGGGAATGCAATGTGTCATGGATAGATAGACGGATGCTATTGAGCACATGGTTGCAAACTCAGGTCCGAGGACTATAAAGCACAGGATCACAGGGAAGTCAGACTGGTGGGGCCCTCCGGAGGTACTGCCTAGTCCAACCTCCTGTTCAAGGCAGAATCATTCCTGCCTGAGCCCCCCTGGATGAGGGTTTGTCCAGCCTGCTCCCACTCCGGGAACCACCCTCACATACAATGGTCAGGTGTGACCTCCCATGAGCCAGTGGAGAAAAATATAGAATACATACACGATGTGAATTGTTATTTTAGAATAGAAATTCTGCATGGAAGTTGTGATGAAAAGCAATTAGCATCCATTAGAAGGGGACGCATTTGTTTGAAGGGGGTTGTAAAGGATCTGAACAGAGAGTGGGACACTTGAGTACAAAAGGGATTGAAATATATTCCAGACTAGACTGGAAAGTATGAGAAGGAGATGTCTACTTAGGCAAGAATAGAATAGAAATTGTTCTAAATTAGACAGGAATCAAAAGGAATTGGATATTTTTATACGCATGAATTTAAGAGTTGATTGTCAAGTAGATTAAGAATTATTAGGCCACTGATTTATATGATGGATGAAATTTGATTATGCCTTAGATTACAACCAATTTACAGTAGGCCCTTTATGTAAAAGGCAGATTAAATTCACAATTACACAAACATCTCTGAGGGCAGTGTAGATAAGAATTGGTGATCAAGTCATACTAAAGACAGGTAGAATGGGACATTCAAATGATCTCTCAAATGAAACATTATAATTTAGATTAAAATCTATTTGCATAGGATATTGTAATATAATCAAGATGAAAAATTATCATAAAATTAGATGAAAAAGTATCATGAATTAAAGTAAAATCAACCAGAATGAGACATTTATATGTGAATCAGACTAAAGTAGATTGCAAATTAGATTTAAATTCAATAAAGAGGGCTTTTATATATAAAATAGATTAAACTCATTACAAATTAGATTAAAAGCAATTAGAATCGATGTGAACAGGACATGTATATATGAAGTAGATTAAATCAGATCATAAATTTGATTAAGATTGAATAGGAAAATATTTAGATATGCATACCTTAGACTGAACTAGATTAAAATTGGTGTAATAGATGCGTGAATTAGATTTAAATAAATGAATATGGGATTTTTGTAACCGAAGGAGACTAAAGTAGATTACACATTGGGTTAAAATTTATGAGAGAGTTTTATGTGTATATGAATATACATTATATGGGTATATATACACCAACTAGACTACATTATTCTTGAGCATATATATGAACTAGGTTAAAATGGGCAATAAATAAAATTTACTAGAATGGGATAATATAATACAAATTAGATGAAGCAGTTCAAGCAAAAATGTATAGGTAAATGAGACTGAAATACATAGATATAAATGGGGTAAACTAGGGAACAAAACACATAAATTAAACTAAATAGATAAAGAAATAAATTAGATAATAGCAAATCCATAAAGTAGATTAAAATACAAAGAAATAAATTTGATAAGACTAGCAAACACATTCATTCACTAGGTTATGCATGTGGATGAATTAGATAAAAATAGCAAATATGTTGTACATGCAACTTCATAGAAATAAATTGGCTAAAAATACCCAACAAACATATGGTGAAGACTGAACTATATTTAGAAGATTAAATAAGTATGAAGATGATAACACATATAATAGATATTTTACAACAGATTAGATTTAGGTTAAAAAAACAACTAGGTGAATTGGAATAGATTAGACAGATCAAATTTGATCAGACCATGTTGAATTGTTAGCTAGATGAACTAAGAGACAGGTATGGACTGAAATAGTTTTAAACATGGGCAAATGAAGTTAAGACAATTATAGATAGATTTTTTTTTAGCCATAGTATATGAAATGAAAGGTCTTGGAAAAAGGAAAATAGGGTAGATAGAATTAAAGCAATTAAAATAGCACAGTTTTAGGTACAATACATTGGACAGAATATAAAAGACACAGACATTTCATCCTCCAGAACTATCGTATTTCCTCACAACATACATGTACCTTCCCCCCCCAAAATCAGCCCTTCAAAAAATGGGATACATATCTTAAGCAGAGAATCTGATTTTTCCCCCTCTGGAACAGAAGAATGGAGGTGCTGTGCCTTCCTGGCAGCTATGATTCTATGAATAAATCTGCCTCAATTTGAGGGGGTTGATTTTTCAGGGGAAAAGGTGTGTATTATAAGCAAGAAATACGGTGGTAGCACATAGTAGATAATACATATACTCAGAATGAGCTAGAATTTGAATGAGACCAACTAAACTTCAGCAGTTCCCCAACAGATCACAGCTTCATGATTAGAAAAACATTTGTTAGGAAATGCATCCAGGTATGTAAACTGGGCAGACCACGGCAGATTTGCCAAAACTAGATCATTATAACACAGTTAGACAGTTCCTCATCAGCTATTTACCACAGACTGCACTACACTATCCCCATAATAACAGAAATCATAGAGCAGTAGGGGTGGAGGAGGGGTGTAGAGGGAAGGGACCTGCAGAGGTCATCTAGTCCACCCCCACAGCTGGAGGCAGGGTTATGCCTATCTAAACCATCCTATGCAAATCCATAATTTTGGAAAACTACCATCAACCCTGACACGACACAAGTCATCATACCCAAGCCTCCCACAGGTAATGCAGGAGGACCATGTTGGCCAGCGTTAGCCAAGGCTGTTCGAGTACACTCAGGAGACCCCAGGTAGAGGCTGTGCCCCTGCTAAGGATGAAGGCAAAATCCCCCAAACTCCATACTAATCTGACCATGAAGTAAAATTCCTTCCTGACCCCAAATGTGACATTGGTTTGACCCTGAGCGGAGGGGCAAGACCCTCTAGCCAAGAACCTCTGGCTTTGGGCCCAGCAGGAGCACTGGCACAACCCACTGCCTCTGAGGGAGGCCTAAAGAGAAGCAACACAACACCTGACACATAGCAGGGGTGCAGGATTCCCTCCCAGCCTCATGAAATTATTAGATGGGTATCCAATTCCCCATGGTATACACCTTATTTATTCACTCACACCTTTTGCCCTAAATGTAGTGCTTAAACATAGTGGTGCACATCTTAAGCAAGAGAACCGATTGTGAACAGCTGGGGTTAAAAGAGAAAACAAATCTCTTATTTTCTTCATTCTTCCCAAAAGAGGCATGTTTCTTATTTGGGGAGGATGGTAGATGGAGAAATACGGTAAATTAGATCACGGTTGATGGCACAAAAAAATAAATTGCTGCTTCACTGAGCAAGTTTTTGATTCTCAAATGTATTGTGGAATATAAATTGGATCACAATAGGCTGGGGGGGTCAACCCCCAGCTCATAGGCCAAATCTGGGCCATGGAGCTGCGGCATCCAGGCTGCAGGGATCCCCACGGGTAGGGAAATTTGAGTTTGGTGAAAGCTCCATATGGCTGGATCCAACCCTACCTAGTCTAGTGCCATGCAGTGGGATCAGGGCTGGAACTGCCACCCTCCCCTCCTGCCTCCCCTGCCACCAAATGTCTGGACTGGGCCAGGCTTCTCCCCGTTCCCCGCCATACTTCATACACCAGGATCAGGGCTGGGATGCTCCCACCCTTCCCCCCACAACTTGTTTGTATAGATCGTGGTCGGGTTACGTACCCCTGCCTCCCCACCATGGCGGGATCAGGCCCTTGCCATGGCACTAGATCAAGCCCACTGGCCAGATCCAACCCACATATGGACCTGGCACTGCCCATCCAGCCCGTGGGATGAAAAGGTTGGGTGAGCACCAGTGGGCTAGCCTAAAATACTTCATTATAACCCAGTTGGCAAAGTAATCCTAACCCATTATGGTTGGCTGGAAGATGCCAAAACATTGCACTAAGATCTATCCTGATAAGATGGTTAGAAAGTAATTATCACCAACTGCATTTCAGTACAGGACTGCAATAGCAGCACAGTTAGGGACTGTTTATTAAAATGCATACAGATGCATTTAAAATGCATCTCTGGTATAC